AATTATCTCTCTATTTCTCTTTCCGGTCGCCTCCCGAAGCCTGGTAGAGGCTAGGGGGATATCTTGTATTTCTTTTTCTGGTAGGAAATTTATAGCCCCTACAAGGCTTCGGAAAGGGACTGGAAAGGGTAGAAATTCGCTAAATAGAGAGATGACATGCCAAGGCTGTTATACCTGATGTAAAGATACAGATATAGATTCCCAATATGATCCAATATGAACGAAATATCCAAGATTTCAAAATCGTTATTATCCCAATAAACTGAAACGCATTTGCTTGGCATAATGTAATACCTTTCTAGTTCTGCTCAGTTCTTACAAGGTCATTGACATTGATTCGCTGATGACAATGGCTGCTGCAGCAGTAATGATTCTTACTGTGTATAATGTCCTTGGTCTTACTTAGTATTCATGCCCGGAGGCCCTGGTTCTTTTCACCAGACCATGCGTAGTGAAGGCAATTATGTCCTCTCGGTTCATTACACACACGACTGTAGCTGTGCATATCTTTAGTCATATATACATGTATGTCAGAATAAACCAACCTAGTTCTTTCAGCTGCATTATGGAATATTAGGACGATACAAAAATGGAATTTTCTAGTAGTTTCTTTACAAAGTGTTGAATCAAAATATTTCATTGCCATTGCATATAAGTGCCATTCAGAAAGTGGAGGTGCCAAAATGTGACGCCTTACGAGCGTGTGTAAAAGCTGAAAACACAGTTGTCATGTTAAAATTTAGTTCAATTTCTGGGGCAAAATGTTGCATATACCCCTTCGTATAACAACCACCACCCTCTAGAAGACATACTAAAAGGGCCCATACAAAGCGATTCAACCTACGTCTGTTACCTAAGTTCTGTTCTGGATTGCAAAATCAACCATGTAAGCCCAAGGGCATTGTATATTAGATCTGTACATAACAAGGCCTCATTTACTCACCTGGCATATAGTCACAACCAAGTGTCGCATATCCTCCATTTTTTCTCTCGAAAGATAACAGTCGTCATTGTAGTACCCCATGGCGGCAGGTAGCACGTAGAAATGGAGTAGACAGAGCGTTAGAAGCACCCCAAAAACTACGCGGCGTCGGCTCACACTGATATACCTCTTACCACAAAATGACATTTTATGGGGCAGTTTCCTTTCCAAAGACACACAACGGTTGGTCAGGGATAAAGTCGTTCAAAGTTTGTTTAACAAAACAACTGTGAGCCTCTCAAGATATGCTGTTTTCTGACTACCTGTATGAGCGAGCCAATGACATTCGTAACATGACCCGCCCGCCTCGCCTCACACAAAGACGCAAAGTTCATGTGAGTTCATTGGCCATTGGGGTCACGTAATAACGTTAATGAAAAAAAAGAGCTACAACAAAAAGTAACACGCACGTTTTAACTAGAACAAAGGTACTAGTACTCTCCAAGCAGAGGTTGTGGGGGAATGATCGTTACATTTTTATATATTCTCTGGCTAATGGATACTGCCTGGCCAATTTGATACTGTCTTTTTGCCACCGAGAGGGATCTGCTTGGAGATTAAGGTACTAGCATCTATCCGTAGTAAATACAGTATATCATTTTCATGTTGGAGCCTTTTTGGAGTAATTACGCTCTAACAAATCGCTTATGATGTTTCATGGTTGGCACTACGTTCTTTTCTAATTAAGTAGTGTCAAATGTTCCCACGTTAATAAGCGGGTCTAGTCTGTTGTCAAAGGACTCAAAGACAGAACCGACAACACATCCGGGATTCGAACTCGCGACCTCCGATCCCACAACACTCAGGTGCACGCTGCTACACACGACTTCTAAACCACATTCTACATGCAAGCAGGGATCAGTGGGGAATATGGTGACCTTTTTATCATATGCCCGGGTGTTGTCGCTCCCCCAACCAAGTAGCGACAGGTAAAAAGGGCGTATAATAAAAATGTCCCCACCAACCCTAGCTGAGGAGTAAAAAAAACATATTAATTAATTAACACATTCAAACCCCATTTACAACTGAGACGAAACAGCGCATCGCAATGAGAAGACACTTTATTTTCCATTTGTGATGACAACGTAGTGTAAGGAAATAGACTTCCTTCCTAACGACAGTCTACGTATAACTATGAGGCTGTGTGACACCATACTTTACCGCAAAACGTCCCATATACTTTGGTATTCTTGCGTGTGCGTACCTTTCCAAAAGAAACAATCATCTGCATCAAATCCAGGCCACTTTAAAAAAGGGGCTCGGTCACATGAGTCGTACCACGGTCGCACGACCGTCGTACGATCGCAAACGTTAAACTGATGGCATTCTTGGGACAATTGTACATGCGTCGTACATAATTCAGATGCCCTCTTAGTCTTACGGAAAATACTGGGTAGATCCTTATCGACAGTTTGTTCAGTATCCTCGGTGCCAGACATGACATCACAACCAACATGTTTTCATTCCTCCTCAGTATTTAACACTATCACCTGTCCTTTGAGATGTGTAACGTTATACATCTCAATAATAAGCAATTGTAGAGACGATTATTTATACGCGATGAAACCAGACTGTCGACACTTACCATCAAACGCGAGCAATTGTGCCTCAAATTTGCTGGATTGCTGACAGTGTCTAAACCGCGTGACAAGCTTCACTGGGTCAGTCTACTGAGGAAGACCAGAGTGACTGGTCGAAAGCTCTAGGTGAGAGAATTTTTGTGTTGGATCAAAAGTTTTAACTTTTAACATGTAACTACCAACACAGATGAACTTTCATGATAGTGTCTAAACTGATAGACCTTTACATCATTTTGTCCTCCGTTGGAAGGCAATAAAATATCCTGCTGTTTTTTGAGGGTCTGCATGGGGGGGGGGTAGTGATTACGAATTACACAAAATTTTCGCCGCCAATTACGAATTGCGTTAAAGTTTCAGAGCTGATTACGACTTTACGCTTTGCAGCTAATGTTCTTTTACGAATTACGTTGATTTTTGGGGAGGTTGCCTACGGATTACGATGACTAAAAAGGCCTGATTACGCCTCACAAAAAAGGGCATGCAGGCCCCCTTTTTTTTAATCATGCGATAATCAATGCGTGCGCTGATATTATCCATAAAAATCATTTGCTGTGGCCTAATCCTAGACGCTATGAGCTATTTAGTTAGCGACCGTGTTTTTTCTCTCGGACAGTTCAGAAGAGGGGGTAGAAGTGGGGGAAGACGGCCATCTCCACGGACTTGAGGGAGTACCAGTCGCGCTTCCACCACCACCAGAACACCCCGTCCGCCCGGGCCTCGTGCTCCCCCTGCCGGTGGTACAGTCCGTTCAGGTTGGAGTCCCCGCACTGTGTGTACCACCAGCCGCCCTTCATCTCCTGAAACAACCAAACGTAAATAGTTTTTTTATATTCCAACATTTCATGACCAAACATGGCAACGGCACACTCAAGTACAGTCCGTTCAGGTTGGAGTCCCCGCACTGTGTGTACCACCAGCCGCCCTTCATTTCCTGAAACAAAGACAAACAAACAAACAAACAAACGTAAATAGTTTGTAAGTCAATGAGTAAAGAGCATCTTTCTACACAACTAAGTATTTTATTCACAGTCTCCTGAAACAGCAAACAACCAAACGTAAATAGTTTGTTTTTTGATATTCCAACATTTCTTGACCAAACATGGCAACGGCACACTCAAGTACAGTCCGTTCAGGTTGGAGTCCCCGCACTGTGTGTACCACCACCCACCCTTCATCTCCTGAAACAAAGACAAACAACCAAACAAACAAACGTAAATAGTTGGTAAGTCAATGAGTAAAGAGCATCTTTCTACACAACTACATGTAAGTATTTTATTCACAGTCTCCTGAAACAGCAAACAACCAAACGTAAGTAGTTTTTTTTGGTTGATATTCCAACATGATCATGACCAAACATGGCAACGGGACACTCAAGTACAGTCCGTTCAGGTTGGAGTCCCCGCACTGTGTGTACCACCAGCCGCCCTTCATCTCCTAAAACAGCCAAACGTAAATAGTTTTTTTTTGAGTGATATTCCAACATTTCATGACCAAACATGGCAATTGAGTTATTGAGTTAAAACGCTCCTTTAGCTGCCCACCCGAGGGTGACAGCTATTCTTCCAGGAGAGAGTATACACATAAACGTAACAATACATCAACATGTACATATATACATCAACATACACAATATATACAAATATACATCAATATACACAATATATACAAATATACAATCTTAATTTACTGTTACATCAACTTATTTTATGCCGCCACCAACACAGAGTACAAATACAGGACAGGACAATACTCATTTTCACTTAAGTGAGGAAAGTCGTGTGAAGTGCCTTTCCCAAGGGCACAAGATTGGTGGCATGTCAGGACTCTTGGTTCAGAGTCGAGTACTCTACCGCTACGCCACACGACCCCACGACTATGTGACATTTGACCTACCTTGGGACAGTCGACCCAGCCCTGGTTCTCACTGCCCTTGTCCCTGGTGCTGAAGGCCGCGTCATGGTTAGCGTACATGGACTCTCCCGCACTGCCGCTGTACCCGCTCACCTGAGGCCGGTAAAGCAAAATAAAAGTGCCGAACACATCCAGCATAAGAATATAAAATATTGAACTAGAAAGGTAACATCTGAAAAGCAAATAGATAATGTTTACTTTCACATGGTCCAACAAACTACAGCTCTCTTACTCATTCATATGTATGGTGACCAGTCCCTCCAACTCTACATCTGTTCTGCAACTTGCTACATAATGTAACCCAACACCACAGGGTGTCTGATACATCACCAGTTACCATGGTGACAGTCGTCTGTCTAGGTCATTGACCTTATCTGTTTGGAACGAATCCGCGGAAGAAGAGGAAATAGAGCAAAAACAAAATGTTTCCCTTTGCGAAGGTAAACCCGATATCCAGTAGCCAGCATTTAGACATCATTATCATTTGTATGGAACATGCTTTCCATTAAAACTAGTACGGTTGTGGCGCCGTCACATACATCACAGCTCGTCCTACAATTCTGATGTCATTGCGGATTTTCAAGTAGGCTATGACAGAGTCATTCGTCGACAAGAATCAAAGACAGCTAGTTAAATTTTGTTGGACACATGTACGGCTTTCCCAAGAATGCTCTCATTTTGCGTCAGTGCGTACGACGATCGTAACCGGGCCTTACTGGAGTTTTGTCGTACCCTGGGATTCAGGTACCTACCCGCAGCCTGTATCCCTGCCATTCGTTGTCAATAGAGAAGTGATCGTACTCGGCGTACGCCTTGTTGCCCTCCCAATCGGACATCTCGATCCTCAGGGTGTAGTTCTTCTGCGCCGTGATGGCGTGAATCTTGTCGTTCCCGAGCCAGAACTCTCCGCCCAGGTCGCCGAAGCCGTTCTTGTAGTCGGTCCAGGGCCGGCTGAAGTTGACGCTCCCATCCTGTCGCCGCTGGATCACCGTCCAGCCTCTGCGGTGCCGAACGCGACAGTACACTGAGAAAGGCGCCACCTAGGCGGAAAAACATGCCGGGTTAGCGATGTGAGTGGAAACGCCTTAGCCTGGGATCCATTATATTCTAGGGAGTTTAGCCATCCAGTTTACAGTTTGCCGGCAAACTGTAAACTGGATGGCTAAACTCCCTCGGCGTGTTGTCTCTCTATTTGGCCAATTTCTACTATTTCCAGCCGCGCCCTCAAGCCTCAGGGTAGAGGCTACTTCGTAAGCTCTTCGCGCGAGGCCTGAATGAATTTGGATCAGAGGGTTGGGCGTACTGCGAAAACGCAACAATTCAAAGACGTGCTTCTTCTGCTCCTTTCATTGCAACCTACACCTAGAAGATTGTCCAGTACGCTGCGTAGGGCAAAAAAAAAAACGTTTTCTTCAATTTACTGACTGTGTGTTTCGATTACGTGGATTATCATCAATGTCTGATTTCAAAGACACTTGGTGTTCGGAGATAACACGTACATGCATATGTAGATAGGATTTCTCTTCTCACCTGGCCGGAGTGTGGCATGTCAGTCTGCTGCCCGTGCGGCCTGACTGTGTACACTCCGCTAGTCTGGTTCCCACCGGTATACACCTCCGCACAGTCTAAAGGGCAAGTCATGCAAGAAACCGGTTAGTTACTATCTTGAAACTTCATCTTTTTTTTTATTCCAACATTTCTAGTAGACATGGTGACGGCAAACTCAAGTTATATCAACTTATTTTATGCCGCCACCAACGCAGACAAATACGGAACATTGTATTCATTTTCACCTGAGTTAAGTGAGGAAAGTCGTGTAAAGTGCCTTTCCCAAGGGCACAAGATCGGTGGCATGTCAGGACTCGAACTCGGGACCTTTTGGTTCCGAGTCGAGCATTCTGCCGCTACGCCACACGACCCCACAACTTCATCTGTGCTGGTAGTTACATACCTGACAACGCTTTGCTAAAATTTTTAGAGCCGGATACGTATTACCCTGAATTCAGGTTTTACGATTAATTCCGGATAGCTACAACCCATTAGGCCATGTTGATTTGATTATATGGATGACATCCGCTCGCGCATGAATTTTCGGCCGTTTCCAAAAAAAAAAAGTTTTAAACCATACTGTAAATCGTACAAAACGGTTGCAAAATGAGCAAAAATATGCCATACGTTACAAAAAATAAAAAATATACCAATGTCGTAGAATGCCAAAATCAAACGAAAAAAGACGAAATTGTAAAGAAATGAACTTGAAGACTAGATTATTCACCAAACCATATTCTGTGCCATTTGTTAAACCTTCAAAACCACGTAGATTTCATAATGAAAACAACTTTTTTTTTTGCAAAACTTTTTTTTTATTCGCACGCGCGCATCAGTTTTGGGGTTCCCGGAGGATGTCATCCATATAATCAAATCAACATGGCCTTACCTAGAATCAAATCGGCGAATTACGCTCTACGTTAAATCAGAGCAGTCAGTCTTCGCTCTACGTTTTCCATTGTACAAAAAAGCGGGAAGTTGACCTCTCTATATTAGCTCAGTGACTAGAACACTTTGTATTAGCCTAGTACAGTACTCTTATATGTTCCTTATGTATGTATGTCTAAGTCAAGTAGTGCATCTTTTGTCTCCACTTTTCTATATACGTTTATGTGTCTGTTACATTTGTATATATTGACCTGTATCTAGCCCGTCGTGGCATGAATGTACAATAAAGGTATTTCAATTTCAATTAATACGGCCGATTATGCTCTACGATCTGTTTTGAGATGACCAAACCTACCCCTCGGCATGTCCTGGTACTGCACGTTTCCGTTCAGCCCGCTGTCTCTCACCAGCCTGCCGGGCAGCACGGCTTTCATCTGGTCCACCAACTTGGTGACGTACGTCTCAAACTTCTCCTGGTTGCGGTTGATTCGGTTGACGAGGATCTCCAGACTGGAGAGGCGCTGGAGAAGCCCGTCCGCCTGGAACTGCAGACCGTCGATGGCGGCCTGCTGGTCAGACAACTGCACTTCCATGTCTTCTCTCTGCTGGACCAACTCCTGTGTAACGGCCATGTCCCTTATCATGAAAATTCATCTGTGTTGGTAGTTATCATAGATCCACATCATCATAGTAAAACGCTGAACTTCATTCTAACACACAAATTATACAGAGATCAAATTTTCAGCGACCACTGTCGCCTTCAGGACAATTAATAAGGTGTGGGGTCGTGTGGCGTAGCGGCAGAGTGCGCGACTCGGAACTTTGAGTCCCGAGTTCGAGTCCTGACATGCCACCGATCTTGTGCCCTTGGGAAAGGCACTTTACACGGCTTTCCTCACTTAGCTCAGGTGTAAATGAGAATTGTCCTGTCATATATTTGTCCCCTGTGTTGGTGGCGGCATTAATATAAGTTGAAAAAACTTGAGTGTGTCGTCACCACGTCTGGTGATTACATGTTGGAATTTAAAAAAAAAAAAATTAATAAGGTGAATAAGTTCACGTGTTTGCAGAGTTGAGCTTTCCAACGATTGCTCTGTATTAAATTTAGTTCATGATCAAGGACTCAGGTACGTGTACACGTCGTAGTTGTATACGTAGCTCTCTGTAGATCTGTATATTGTACAGCTTGTAGTATCCCATCTGTAAGATACCAAACACCTCAACTTTTACAACTGTTACGGTGGGGTCGGCGTAACGGCAGAGCATTCGGCTCAGAACCAAGAGGTCCCGAGTTTGAATCCTGCCCTTGGGAAAGGCACTTTATACGACTTTCCTCTCTTAGCTCATGTGAAAATGAGTATGCCAGAATAATCATTATCATGACCCAAAAAAACAAACCTGCAACATCGGGCTCCCCAGGATGCTGTTCTGCATGACTTTGAGTTGTCCCTCCAGGCGAGACAGCCGTCTGGACAAGATGCCGCGTTGCAGTGCTGCCACCTGGAGGTCGTTAGCGGTACTGTCATCCGGACGCCGTTCGTCAGATGCAGGTGCAGAGGGTGGGCCTTGCACTTGACTTGTCGTTGTCCTATAAGGGAATGACAAAAATAATCTTGCAACTACATGTCAGTAGTGAGTGACCTGTACTTGTGTTTCGCGCTCCAAAATATGGTATAGTGCTACTGTACAACAATCAGGTCCAGGTTTAGGTCCGGACCTGGACCTGATCCTCTGAACCTGATATCCGGAGCTGAATTTTCTATACAGGTACCCACCCCTATACATGTGTACAAATTCAATTGAAGTTCTGAGAAATATGCGACGAACACTGATGCCACGGGACATCGCCAATTACTGCTTGAATTGTAGACTTAGCACAATAAAAAGCCTCTTTTTACCCCTAAGATGGGGCTAAAACTCCCCGCGTCAATTTTCACGGTTTACCCAAGAACCACAAAATTCTGTGACTTTCCCAAAAATTTACCTAGCGACAATTTCATTTTAAGTGTGTTAAGTTGATAATTTCTTGATGCCATGGCAACGGGGTTCTGACAGGCATTTTTTGCAAATTCAGTAACTTCGGTTGAACAATAAACATTTCTGTTAATAATGTAGCTTTTGTCAATAAAAATTCATTCATGATATTTTCAAGACGCCATATGGTCAAAATCCAAGATGGCGGACCATATCTTTAGATCAGGTGTATACCAGGTTATAAAATTCCACCATTACTATATTCGTTTTCTTAAACATTCATGTGGACGTCTTAGCAGACTATTCTATCCTACACACTTTTGTTCAAGTTTTATTGTATATTACCGAGTTTTACCGAGGACAAAAGCATTTTACGACGTCTTGCTAAACGTTCAAGGTCAAATATCAATTGAAAGAGCGTATTCCATACCATATTAACTTCGGTCACAACATTTATAACAGCATCATACTCAAAACTAAGAGGTTTCAAAAAAATTCTTATATTCTCAAATCATACGTGAGTATATGTGGAGTATTGCCCTACAGTACCATACCTGTTATTGAGAGTGGATTCAGTGGGAGCCCTTCCCTCTGAGGTAACAACAGGGGGGCTGTACCTCGGCGGAACCGCCCCTTGATCCTGTGCTCCTACGGATGCACACAACACCACCACCACTGCCGCAACGTACAACTCCATCCTGCATGAACCACTCTGTAGTACAGACTATAGATGAAGAGAAACCTTGGAAAACCTGGCCGCTCCATCTGGGCTCCAGACAGACCACATAGACAGTAAACACACAGCTACTCCTTCTCATATCCGCGTTTTGGAGACCTACAAATACCACCTCTTTCGGGACGGGTTCGAGTTCAACAAGCGGATCTTTCATCATCCGTTCCCGGCATCTGAGAGGCGCTAGCCTCTACCAGACTTCGGCATTAGCCTCGACCAGGCTTCGGGAAGCGGCAGGAAGAGTTAGCCTGGTTATCAAACTTATCATAGCTCCTGAGTCCTACATCCTCTCTATTTGCGGAGAGGATGTAGGACTCGGGAGATACAATAGGTTTGGTAACCATGCAGGCTATGAAAGAGTAGAAATCGGAAGTGGCAAACTGTTCTCATTGCACAGACCAGCTTCCCTGGGCCTGGCATATCATATGTAGACAATTTCTACTCTTTCCAGCCTCTTCCCGAAGCCTGGTAGAGGCTAGCTAGATAGGCATGGCCTCTCCATAGGGTGATACCTACCAGTCGAGTCCAGTACGGCTGTGTGCTGACGTCAATTTGCCGTGTACATACACTTCACAGTAGCTGGTAAAGTATTTAGAGTACGCTTCACTGTATGTGTATATATTCATCATTCACTCACGATTCGAGACAAAAAGGTTGGAAGGTGTTTTAACACCGCATGCTTGTAACATCTACGAGGACGTATCTACGACTAACTTGGAAAGTTGAAACGGTCATATTTCTTCTTGTTCCCCGCCCCAAAAGCAGCGTGTAGCCTACACACTATCTACCTGCCCTGGCCCCTTGGTACAGTCTGGCCAGATCTTACTTGCTTCAAGAATTTGGCAGGATGATACTTGCTATTAAACACACGTGAACTAGTTCTGTTGATGCAAGAGTTCTTCCTTCAAGGTGGTCTAGTGGTAAGGGTTGTTGACTCAGAATCCAAAAGTTCTGGTTTCGAATCCCTGGTAGACCCTAGTCTAGATCTCTACGCATCTATGGAGGCAAACTGCAGCTACATTCTTTTTAGGCCGATTTCTATTTATTCAGCGGATAACGAGTTAGGTGGAAACTAGGCAGGCCGCGTTGTTGTGCCTTAGGAAAAGTACCTATTTTATCACTTGACTCCGAAGTTTCCCCGAAGTTACTGTAACTGGTTCCGACGCGCTCGAGCATCAGAATTATAATTTTTAGTAGAAACATAAATTTTGAGTAGAAACATAATTTTGAGCAGAAACAATCGGTTGACTGATGAGAAAATTTTACATCGTAAGCCCGTTACGTGGATAAAGGTTAGACATCCATGCAGAAATACACTAGAAAATTGATACTTAAACAACTGGATAAGACTTTCAGAATTTATCCAGTTCCTTGTGAACAATCCCGTTACTTCCCATTATCTATACTTTATTCCCTAAGATGCGGGAAAGTGAAATATTTTGGTTATACGTCTCAAGTTTCCCAGGTAGACTCAGGGTTCTCACTGAACGTACATGTAGGAGCCCCCTAGGCTGTGATTTTGCCCCTTACATGTGTATTTCATTTTAGGGAGAATCTTAAACAAATCAAATATTTGACTTAAGAATGAAGCTATAACCAGGGAATTTGTCCTAAAATGGACAGGAAATAGTGTCTCAGAAGTTTTTTTTTGGGGGGGGGGGAGGTACCAGACCCTTAGTTACTGTTGTCATGTCTTTGGGAGTCAATGGACGGCTTACGCCGCAGAAAGTTGTTCTGTACCTGACCCCTACACTGAAAAAAATTCTAGTGAGAACCCTGAGACTAATCATGGGCCTTTGACAAAGTGGTACTTCTTTTCTTCAATCTGCCAGTTGGTAAGCAGGCCGTAAATAGGCCTCCGCTCAGTTTCTTTTATCCTAGACATTGTATTTTTAGATCTATGTATTTTGTGTTGTCAATGTTGTCTATGGGCTCTGCCTGAATCAAACAAGAAATAAGTAAATTTTCGTACAAGCAAACACAGACGGACACAATCAGACAACAAGAGTCAAGGTCTCCTTAGAAGAGAAGCCGTTTATCACTACTTAGGCGATCAGCACAATGTACATCACAGATGAGGTTACTAGAGCATAGTTACTTGTGTCTGGCATGCACAGCAACTAGGGCTGTAAGGCTGGTAGCAGTCCGAACATCGAATGGAGCGGAGCTTTCTATGCAATAACCACCTTCACGATATCGAAACTATAACCATAAAAAAATCCCCCAAAACGTAAAGCCATGTGTTCATCTATAGAGCAGTCTACTGCTGAACTGAACTTCACTCTACTGACACTTCCATTGAAATATGTGGAGAAAGGAACACAGGAAAACGAAGAGCACTGGATACATTGCATTTCCGAGCTAGTTACTGTTTTTTTGTCTCTCAACCTTGTTACAAATGACAACATAAAAAATTGCATATTGCCCCTTAACGCCAGACAGCAGCCTGAAACAGCCGGTTTTTATTATTACTGGTTACTTATTAACTAGTTACTGGTAATTCATCTGGTACTAGTTAGGGTTACAATCTGGATAACCAACACTTTGCCTTCTCCTGGTCATCTGTCAGTTTGGTTAGTTCAATAAGTCCCCAACAACAGCTCATCTTTGCCCCACCACCAATGTCCACAGCTCCAGCAAGATCGGAAGTTTCAAAGCAGCAACCAAGTTTCTATATATATTTTATCTCTTTATCATACGAAATAACATTTTTTTACGACGTCTTCGTAATCCAGTACATTTTATACATTTGCTTTTTTTCTTTACATGAATTGGGATTATTGACTACAGTTTTTGTTGACAAACGAAACTTCAGTTCCTGCGTGCCGACTCCAATGCACCGACATTTTCACAGATCACGACATGTTTCTCTAGTCTTTTATAACACACAAAACTTGAGGATTTTGGCATTGATACAAAACTAAAGTGGTGCTCCTGATTCATGAACAATGCCCCAAGGTTACAGTCCCATCGTCTATCCAATCATGTTCAGGAAAAACATGTATGTGCATCTATGGGAGTTTAGTCCACCCACAGACAAATAAATTCACAGAAAATTGCCTATGAGTAAGCCAGAGATATAGCTTTGCTCAGTTTCAGCCAATATATCAGCGACAATTGGAACTGACTAGAACTAGACAAGGCTTAATCTCGGGTAAAACAGGAGCATGAGGGCTCTCACAAATACAACTTTCAACTTCCCAACAAAACCCTTTCAGCAGTCTCCACACATTCACACTTTCCTCAAATCTTTTGTGAGCAGAAATTATATCTTTCTGAAAAGTGGGTGGTTTAGCATCCACAGTTTCTCAATTTCAAGTGTTACACGTCGAGGAAATTGTGCTTTCTATCATTTCGATGTCGAGTCATGTCAAATCAGAAGCAAAAACTACATGTAGGTGTCCAGCCTTTCCACTCCCAGTGCAATTCACTTCCCAAGGCATTCTCTACAAAAAAAAGAACAATGGTACAAATTTCCAGCATACTATGTGAATTTTGCTAAGACTTCTTATACATCCAACACTTATAATCATGAACGATATGAGGCATAAAATGAACAACTTTCCATGAAATGTCATTGTACTTTTAAGGTTTGAGAAAAGAGAACTCAACTAGCAACAAATAGAACCCCAGGTGGCGACCCACAGCCTTATATACCACTTGTAGAATTGTCACGTCTAACATACAAGAATGAACATCAAGTGTACAAAGTCTCTGAGACACCAGTGACTTCAAAACTCCTGTCGAAACAGAAGGGAAAGAAAATCAACTCTAGTTATTACATACTTCACCGGTACCATCTATCAGTATCACATCCCTTCCTCACTTGAGAGGCAAAGTGTTGGAGAGGAAAAAAACAACTTTGTACATACACAGACGAGAAACACGTCTACACTATATATCCCACAGAGAGCATGCTTTTGCTAAGTTTTTCTTCAGATCTATGAACATGAACCCTGAAGGTTTTTCTTATTAACATGCATTTTAATAGTTCATACAAATGTTTATTGATTTTGTCTCTAACGAGTTTATAGTCATGCTATATATATATTCTTTGGGAGCCCCGTAAAGTTTTACAATTGTAAAGAATACACAGACAGCAAACGTCACGTTGACAGAATTCTAGAATGAAGACTCAGGGCTGACACATTACGTAGTAACAGAAACTTACTTTGCACACCATTTGAAGCTAGGCTACTATTAGTTCTTCCTCTTATAAGACAGCGAAGTATGTGTCATAAACTCCCCAATTTATTTTCTCTCTATCACAGGTAGAAAAAAATCAGGTCCCGCTATACTATAATTGCGATCACCACTTATACAGAAAGACAATAGTAACTCTAACATAAACTGAAGTAATACAACAATGCCTGTCTTGCTTCTTATAAGTTGAAGCGGCAGACTTAAAGAAAGTCCTGATAACCTCGCGCAAAATTCAAAAGGCAATGCCTCTAGTACAACTGGTTCTATTTTGATAGCTAACTGCAATTTCGTCAAGAAATTTAGGAGTTCAATACTATGCACGAACACACAGTCATCAATAAATAGAACCTAAAGAAAACAAAAAGAAACATTAACATCAGTCCATTTCTTACTTCATGAAAGGACATATCCAAAATATTTGCCATCAACAATTGACGTAATAATTAATAAACTTTGTTTAAAAATCATTAAATAACTTGGGTAACCTTTACAAGTTTGCTTGCAAACAATGGTAGAGAACAATGTTGTCATTGCGTTTATCCCTCAGTGGTTTTATGTAAGTAACTGCATTTTTTTTTAGTTATACTGGATACCCGAGCAAATCTTCAGAACCAGATCTGAGATTAGGACTATAAACAACAGGGTTACACAATCATTTCTGTTATGGCTGTTATACAATACACTGTACAGTATGGTAAATGGGAGGGGGAAGGAAGCCCCGTGCCTTCAGAGGTTGTAGTACCCTTGGCTGGCCCCATGAACGATACTAAATGCGCCAGCGATGATGCCTTGTTTTTCTTATGCAGAATCCTTTCCATCCTTCTTGTCTTCGATGGACTCTTTGGATGGCATGGTGCCGTCCTTGCGTGGCGGCATCCTCTCGTTGACTCGGTCCAGCGACTTGGCCTCCTCGAAGGATTGGATCTTGGTGTTGACACTGTAACCCTGGATTGCTAGAGAGTCGGAGCAACAAGTTAACAAGTCAAGCTTCATTCTGCCCTGGAACGACGCAAAACATACACACGGCTACTCTATCTACCAAGTGTGCGCATTAAGAGCACGTCGGCAGAATATACTGCACCTGCGCGAAACCCGTAATGTATTATACATAGCATTTCGGCAGAATGTCTCATATAAAAGGTTGTATTCGCTCATATAAGGTTAGCATTTCAACTGTAGTTTCCCAAATGTTGTGTCGGAAAGAATATCCTCTGCAACAGGACAAAAATTCTGATGCAACGTTGAACCAAAAACCCAACGAAAAATGCGAAAATACAGGGTTCTGCGCAGGCGCAGTACGTTCTGCCGACGTGCTCGCATTAAGGGATATTCATCTGTGATTTTCCTTTCCCATAACCAACAGATAACTGTTGACTCAATAGCATTTTTAAAATG